TTATACGTGTGTGTGTTTATATCCATATACACACGCCCATACACGTACACACACACACAGGAGAACACTTATTTTGCACTTGATGGTATAACTTGGAGATTGCTCCTGTCCATATATTGTGATTCCATCTAATTCCTTCTCATTCTGTTCAACAGCCACATGAGTTCCCACGTGCAGACATAGCACAATCCATTTTCCCAGTCCCCTTCTTTTTTTTTTTTTTTTCCTTTTTGTCCTTTTTTCGTAACCGGCAATGGATCGCAACCCTCAGTGTCGCGCCCGCACCTCGCTCAACCAGTGAGCGGCCGGTCTGTATGTGGGATCCGAACCCTCAGCGGGAGCGCCACCGCACTCCCAAGCAGCACACTGTAGCAGTGCGCCAACGGGCCGGCCCCCCAGTCCCCTTCTGGTAGACATTTATGTTTCAAGTCTTGTGTAATTTCAAAAAATGCAGTGTCTATTTTAAAAATCTAATTGTTTTCTTATTAAAGTAATATATGTAAAAATCAAATGGTATGAGAAAACGTGTCGCAAAAGCCAGCTGTCCCCCGCAGGGTCTCTGCTCCAGGTCCATGTCCCCTGCCACATCTATAATGTCCAATTCCTTTAACTGCTGAATCTTGTATTTATCTTCATCTTCCTAAGGTCCATGCTTGTGCTGCTACTTTGATTGGTTTTCGATGTTTTACGACTCCTTACGTGGGGATTGGGTCTCAGCCCTCACGCTGCTCACAAGCATCACCACAAGCGTCACCCTCCCTCATCTTCCCAACATAATTATACCATAAATTTTTAAATAAAATCGAAATATAGCAACTATGTAAATATGACCCACATTTGAGCCATGCGGTGTACTATGATGACAGCTCCTTTCTTGTACGACACTCCTCAGATGGCAAACACTTCACCAGATCCCCCACGGTCCATGGATAGCTGGACATAATGACAGAAGAAAGGACTTTCCCTGAGTGGCATCTGTGCCTGTTTCCCAGGCAGTCCTTTCTGTGCATCCCAGGTTGGGCTCTCTGAAAGCTGCCCTCGAAGGGAAGGTGGCATGCAGGGTGATCATCAGGGGGACATGCCTGGGGGAGGACAGAGGGGGGCAGGATTGGGTAGAATCCAGCTGCCATGTGGACCTGGCAGAGCCTCAGCCCAAATGCACCGGGAGTCCAGGGGGAATGCATCCCACCAGGCCAGGCCTTTATATGCCCACCTCTATTGGCCAGGGTTGCAGCACTGCAGGAGGAGTGGGCCTCGGGCAAGGGAGCTCCTTGCAACTGAGACAAACCCTGCATCGAGGCCTTTCTTGACAGCGGTCTGGGGGTGCAGGTCTGTGTCCACCACGGACTGCAGTTTGTCAAGCGTGTGCACCCACCTACCATGAGCCTAGCATTTGGTTACAGGCAGACTGCAAGGCATGTGGGCCTCATGCATCCTTGTCTCCCCTGAAGTGCCGGCATGCAGGGATCATGCGACACAGTCGGTTCCGGCGAGCAGGAATACAGGAAAGACAGACTCGCCGACCTCACAGGGCTTATCGTCCAGTTGTGGGGAAGGTGCGGGATGCTACTAAGGAACAAGGGCACAACTGTGCGGCCTTCCTGGGACAGTGTGTGTTCGGGGACCAGAGGAGCAGGCTGGCTGGAGTGGTTGGGGGTGGGGAGAGGGTGCTTCCTGGGAAAGGAGGGGCAAGAGCTGAAGCTGGAAGGGAAGAGGAAGGAAGACATGGGCGATGGAGAAAGTACAAGGACAGTGATGGGTGGGAAGAGCAGACGGGAGGCTGGGGGCCATGCAGTGGGTGACAGCGCGTGGGTTCTGTGGGCAGCTGTGAAGTGGGTGCTACTGAGGTAGATGATGAAAGGCCGCCCCTGTCCCCATCAGAGACACCCTGGAGACCTGCCCAGGGGCGTGTTAGGATTTCCACCTGGTTTCTGCCATACCTCGTCGCTGTAGCAAGTCCCCAATTCTCCAATTCTCTGGTTCTCAGTGTTCTTGCAAAGACAGAGAGAGAGGCGAGGGGCTCTCCCCTGCAGAGCCTGGGGCTCCATCAGGTGAATGGGGATTTCCTGTTGCCCCCCTTTGGGGACCCTGTGGGGCTCTCCCAACCCACCATGTCTGCAGGCCAATATGCTGATGGTGGGCAGAGAATCCCACAGAAACACAAGTATTTCCACAATGCCTTAGAAATATGATTTTTTAAAATTAAAAATGTGAGTCTGGATCAAATTCAACCACATAATGTAGTGGTTTGCTTAATGACTGCAGAATATTGTCTTATCTGAGGAGAAGCAGGACATTTTAAGACCACAGAGCCCAAAATTAACAGCTTGGAATTTTTGCCCGTGCTGGCTGCTGATTGACTTAAGCCATTAAAGGGAAAGCATTTTTGGCAAATCCTGAGATACTTTTACAAGCAAAGCCATGGACATGTTCAAGCCATTTTAAAATAAGTGTACGGTGAGCCAAGCATTTTAGAAAAATAGGCTGTTTAATCAAAAGGTTTGCAAAAGCTTCTGTGGTTCCCAAATAAAGTCTATGAAAATGGTTTCACTTGATGACCAAACCAAACCTCTAAAAATCTAACTGTGAATTTAACAGAAGCTGGCCACAGCCATGTTGATTGAACTCTGATTTTATTGGGAAATATGATAAGACCTTCTCACAAACCTTAAAACCACTTCTTGCTTTGCCATTTTCTTGGCGCTGTGGATGTCACCTGCCCATGGTATGAACCAGGATAAATGAGGAGAGTCCCTCACTGCAGTCGCCTTAGGATCACATGACCGAGGCCCTGGGGCTGCAGAGCCCACAGCTGGACCAGGCCAGCTCAGTGCCAAGAAGTGCTTCCTGTGGTCAAGCCCCTGACATCGGCTTTTCTTTCCTCAGGGTTGATGCTCCTAAGACTAGGGAGCAGGGAAAGTGGCTGCTGCTGTGGGACTGAGGGCCCTTCCCAGGGGTGTCACTGTGCTGCGGCTCTATAGCTGCCCTTCCAGCCTGGAGGAGCAGGCTCTCCAGTTATGAGTCGGCGAACAGTCTCAGCCTAAGAACAACGAACTTACTGAGGGGATTCCAGGAGCTTGACACATTGACAGGAACCGAACCTGGGAAATGGCAGAAAGAAAGGTCATTCTGGAAAGTCAGGGATCCTAGAGAAGAAATCTCAGATGAGCCTCCAACTTGTTTGTCCCATGCTCAGACAAGTCACATGCCAAGGAGGGAGTAGCACCCACCCCATCAGCCTTGCTTGGGTCCCCTCCTGTTGCCTCCTGGCCTGGAAGGACAGCCCCTAAGAATGGTTGTCCTATACAGTGCCTCTTAAGGGAGGGGCAGTGAGGGTGCTGTTGGGCAGGGGAAATGGGTTGTAGGCAGCCAGAGCACAAAGGAACTCCCCTGCCACCCCCACGAGTTTGGCCTCTGGGGGCCCAGCTCAGCTCAGAGATGCTTTGCTCAGGGCGATGCCAGTTGGTTCAAGAGTCCTCATGGTGTCTAGGTTTTCACTTTGCTGTGGATTGGGTTCTCCGTCAGGGAGAAGAGGACTCAGACCCCGAGTGCCTTTCAGAGGAAGCCTGAACTCATGGAGATGCAGGTCCTACCTGGCTCTGCACCTAGGAATGGTCATGTTAGGTTGGGGGGCTGGAGGAAGTCGTCCACTGGGCTTTGCGGGACCCAAAGCCCAAGCGCAGGCTCCTCCTGAGGTGTCAAGCTGGTGGCTTCCCCCACTCTTGCCCCTCCCCCATTTCTGATCCACAGAGAATCAAGGGCTGATGCAGAGTCCAGAGGCAGCAGTAAGGCTCCTGCCGCCAGCTCCTCCCCTCCCATTCAGCTGGAGTTCTCGCTGAAGTCATTATTCCTTCTTGTGGAGGAATTCCTATCTCATTGTCATCCAACAAGATAATGGGGATTTCTTTTCTCTGTGATAAATGGTTGCATTTCAAGATTTCTTCCATGATTAACTTTTCAATAATAATAATAATGACACGCACCAACTGAACTCATGCATTTTCTCTTATTATAGCTGCACTGAGGATGATGTGGAGAAAATAAAATCTACCAAGCCCCATGTACATTTGTACCATGTAGCTGCAGTAATGGTTCCAGGCTCTTGGCTGTATGTAGCAGCACACGCCTTCTCCAAGGCTAACTCCCTATGGATGTGAGGAGATCTTAGGTGAAAGGAAGGCAATGCTGTGCAAGGCTTAGAGACCTGGGGATCCAGGTGCTGGAGCCTCCTAGGGGCCTAACTTTGGATCTGGATCTGCCTTTTGCCACTTGGCTACCCTTGGGCAAATGGCTTTATCTCTCCAGGCAAGTTTCCTTATTTGTAAAATGGGACCCCAATAGTACCCACCTCATAGTGTCCAGTGGGAGTTCTATGAATTAACAAATGCTAAGAACACAAAACACTGTCCAGCACATGGACCCTTATTTGTAAAATGGGACCCCGATTGTACCCACCTCATAGTATCCAGTGGGAGTTCTATGAATTAACAAATGCTAAGAACACAAAACACTGTCCAGCACATGGATGTGCTCAATAAATGTCAACTACCTTTTATACAATAGCTGCATTTCTGAAATATGTACAGTGTGGAAAATGTGCAGATTTTAATTTCATATTGTGGGGGAGTGAAATCAGGCAGACAATGGCGAGGAAGAGTGAGAAAAATGAAATGGTCTTACCTCAGGCTCACCAGTGGCAGTGATTGCTTCTGGAGCAGAAGGGCAGAGTTGGCAGGGTCAGACCCCGGGACCTTCCCTTCTCCTCTGCACCGGGCCTACCTCTTCCCAACGCACGGCTTCCTCGGCTGCACTGGAATCACTTGGGGAGCTTTCAAAACAAATCGGATGTCTGGGTCCAGTCCCCAGAGATCTGACCTAATTAGTCTGTAATTTTTAACTGCTCCTGGGTGGTGCTAAAATGCACCAGGGCTGAGAACCAACATCCTAAGGCTGGGCAGGATGGGGCGGGGTACAAAGGGTGAAGCACGTGGCCCTGTGGCTCACACAAGCCCTGGGTTCTCGACAGCAATGGCAGGCAAGCCTTTGAAAATGCCACTTCTGAAAGGGAAGGGAAGCGGCCTCAGCTCGTTACCCTTCACTGAGAGCACTCCTCGAGACTGCGGGGGCCCTCACAGTGAGGCGAGATTCCTCAGGAGGGGAAGGCAGTCTTGCTTACAGCCCCGCGTTCCACCCCGCCAAGACTAAGTCTGGTAATGAGCAGTTCTTCCCCTTCCAGGCACCTGCGGGGTCTTTGGCAGGTGCAGCCAGGTGGCAGGTGGGGTTGGGCTGGCTCTGGGAATGCCTGCTGGCATTCAGGGGCAGGTCACCTGGCCACCCAGCCAGGGTGCTCCCCATGAAGTGGCTTTCCCTCTGACCTCAACTCCAATTTGGAAGGTATTCTCACTGCCCATGCACACCTGCATTTCAACAGGAGTGGGATCTGGTAAAGGGGTGTGTGTGTGTGTGTGTGTGTGTGTGTGTGTGTGTGTGTGGTTCAGTTCAGCATCGGGGCTCATATTTAAAGCCTTAGAATTTATAAATGTTCCTAAGGACTCCTGAGTCATTTCATCAATACTTGAAGAAAATCACAAGCGCTTAAGGAACAAAATAATGTTTTTATTAAAAATTGAACCCATAGCACCGCTCTGTCTTCCTACAAGTTGTTTTTTTTTCTTTCTTTCTTTTTCTAAATGAGATCTGGTTTTCTGCACCATTTCAGAAAATATAGGGAAAACTTCAGGACTGACCTAAGCGCTTCCTAAACCAAAAGGTGATGCTGGAAGGAGACGTGCCTCAGCAGACAGCTCAGTTCATGAATTTCTACATTGTTCTCACCTTTCACACTGGATCCACGCTACAGGGATGCTGAGTTAAAGATAGCCACACTGAGATACACGGCTTGATTGCTCATTGGGAGAATAACTACTGTGTGCCAAGCATGTGTAAAAACTAAAACCATGCTACAACCATTTTGCAAAACCATGCTTCAGTTCCAGTCGTATCAAGTACAAGCACAGCATCCAAAGACGTTTACAGAATGCGCATCATGCTCCTGGGGCTGTGTGAGCACTTTCCATGACAGTGGGCCATAATGTGTAAAAACTAAAACCATGCTACAACCATTTTGCAAAACCATGCTTCAGTTCCAGTCGTATCAAGTACAAGCACAGCATCCAAAGAAGTTTACAGAATGCGCATCATGCTCCTGGGGCTGTGTGAGCACTTTCCATGACAGTGGGCCATCTAGTCACAGTCTCCTTCTGTGGCTCACAGGTAGGTAAGACCCCCCCACCCACTGCCTCACACGGTGTCTTCTTTTGCTACAGCATTGAATGAAGTGCGCCTTAAAAGCTTGGAAGGGAGAGAAGCCAAAGGGAAGGCTGGGGGAGAAGGGACTCGGTCTGGGCCAATTTATTCACAAGGTGGATGTGAAGGAGGCCAAGGAGACTGCAGTCCAGGCCCTGCCACCCACCCCTCTGGAAACCTGTGCCCTGGTGCCCAGGTGTAGGGGAGTCCCATGCAAACCCATCCCTGCAGCTCAGACAGAGCGCGGCCCCTCCAGGCTGCTTAGCTGCATCCCCCTCACAGGGAAAGGGAAGCTCACCAGTCAACACACTCTTAAATGACCCATTTGAGGACATGAGTGGGGAGACGCAGCTGCCACTCATCGAGAGGCACCTGAGTGACATCACTTTCAGCACTACAGGAGAAAGCAAGAACACCACATCCCATCTTATCTTGGTTATAGAAATTTTGCTTGTCCTTTTTTCAGAACCAAGATTAAAATCTAATATCCATTTTCCTATTGTGTGATTTTTTTCTCCTCCCTAAAGATGAGAGGTTAGAAATGGACACTCAATGCCCATGTTGCTCTGGGAGGCTGAAATCTAACCAGAAATCCCCAGCTCTGTTCCTTTGGTGGAGGTGGCTGTCATGGGACAGAGCCCCTCTGAGTGACGGGGTCGAGAGCAGCTGCTAACAACAGTCCATCAGCAGCCACGGTGCCAGTGCAGCTTTGTACAGACCATTCCATACAAAAAAAGTTTACAAAAAGTAGAGAGAACACAAGAAATATGAGCCTGAAAAAAGTGTCATGTTGTTGTCATGAAAACCCAAGAGCGAAAAACATCTCACACCAAATCGTCCTCAACCTAAGATGTCTCAGCGCTTTTCCCCATTATCAAAGCCATGTCCTTATGGCTTAAGAGAGCAGTCGAAGCGCACAGAAGGCAGTGTTTGTCCACGTTCTCCATTTATCGCTTATCTTCCAAGAAATCCAAGTTGTCACATCATGGTTTTCTGTCCACTGCGCCTCTTCGGGGCTGAGAGGAAGGATGTGGGCTCTGTCCCCTGAGGCGGGTCCTGTCCAGTGAGGTGTGCTGAGTGATTCTCACGCAGACATGAGGCTTTGGGCAGAGCAGCTGGGATTTTTGGTTTAGAGTATTTCCCCTTCCACTCAGAAAGGGAAGGAAGGAATACAGGAAGGGAGGGAGGAAGAAGGGAAGAAGGGAAGGAGAGAGAGAAAGGAAACTTTCCACACACTCTAATTTTGGAAAAACTAAAAAGGAGTTTTTCATCTCACATAAAACTTTGAAAGCACAGAATCAAGACAATATCCTTCCCCTCTGCCCCCACAGAAGTGTAACAAAAAAGTAGCCCAGCAGAGACCACATTTTCTACCCATGGCCAGGAGACCGGCTCCCTGGTGGCACAGGCCAATCTCTGGCTTGGCTGTTTCCACCCTCAGAGCACCAGCAGGTCACCTGGGAGGAGAGCACCTGGCCTCACTCCTCTGTGCCCTGGGAAGTGTTGACAGAGTGGCCTGGAGTCTTGTGTGTGCCACACTCCTGCTGGTGAGGTGGGGACGTGGGGACCGGCTGGCACCCACAGCACTCAGATTATATCCAGACCTGGGCCCTGGGCTGAAGGGCTGACCCCCAGCAGCTCAGCCATCTATTACAAGAATAACGGGGTGGGCTGCAGCACAGCTGTGGTCTGGACGCTAAGATTTTCGAAGTAGTTTGTGCTATTTTAATGTAGCTAAAACAATTAGAACAATGACAACGTAAGAAAAAAACATTTCAAGACAACCTGTTAAGGCTAAAAAGCTGGCCTTGGATTGGGGGGCAGCCTAGCAGCAGGGACAAGTGGAGGGGAGGACAGAGGGGAGGACTACCCCACGTGCAGGGGCCGCCCGGTGTGCGCCAGGTAATGCAGGATCTTGTTTTCTCAGAGCTGTTTGCTTTATTTGGAGACACTGTCGCGTTTTGTCTTTCCCATGTACAAAGCTGAACAATTAATAAAAGGCACCTGAAGACAGCAAAGACGCATTCAAGTGACATATTTTAAAAAAAGATAAAAAGATTTAAAAAATACTCTGGTTAACAATGCACGCTTCCTACATAACAAGCAATTCTGAAGACGCTGTCTTGTTCTGTCTTGCTGAGTGGAGTGGGCTGTGTGCTGTGCTCACAGGCAGGCGCTAGCTCGCTCAGGGACGTCCCGGGGGCTTCCAGCCTTGGGGGAGGCTTCCTGTTCCTGTACTGTCGGGTTCACAGAAAGAAAGGAAGAAAGAAAAGAAAGAAAAAAAAAAAAGCCCCGAACATCTCACCACTGGAATGACACAACATGCAACAGTGGAGCCACACGGGCGGGGTCAGAGGGTGCCACCTTACATGGCTTGCCCCATTGTCGTCAGAAACCTTAAAGGAAGAAAGAAAGAAAGAAAAAAAAAAAGCCCCGAACATCTCACCACTGGAATGACACAACATGCAACAGTGGAGCCACTCGGGCGGGGTCAGAGGGTGCCACCTTACATGGCTTGCCCCATTGTCGTCAGAAACCTTAAAGCTGATTTTGATTCCCCACCTAGAAATTGCTGAGTGAGAACATTTCAGAAACGGGTGAAGTTGGGTCAAAAAGCACTGGGCCCAGGTGAAAACGTTTGCTCTTCAAACCCCAGGAGCGAGCTACGTGCGAGCCCCAAGATGTCCTAAGAAGACTGTGAGCCGCTGGTTCTCCGGGAGAGGAGGTAGAAGGAGAAAGGGGCAGCTCTGAGACCTCCCTTGACCCTCGCTCTCTAACCCCCTTCCAGCCTTGCTAGTCGGTCTCTAGGATGGAGGAGCCCAGGGCTGGCAGGTCCCCAAGCCCAGCGGTGCCAGGCCATCGCACCAGTGAAATACACCTTCTCTTAAAAAGAAAAGAAAAAGAAAGAAACCTGCTTCCTGCAGCGATGTTACAAAAAGCCATTAAAAAAACCTTCCTAATTGAAATCTAGTGTTCACAAGTAGGTAAAATCATCACTTATCAGAATTTTTTTTTTTTTTTTAAACAAAAACTTCAGCTCAGTTATTGGAGTTCATTGTTTTAACAAAAATAGACTCCGGGAAGTTCGCATCCGTTCTACCCTGATAGAGGCCCGCGGGGCGCGGTCACACGAAGGAGGAGAAGCCGGTGAGCGGAGTCCGGGCGCCGGGGCCGGCGGGGGTGTACACGCCGCCCGCGCTCTGCGTGGTGATGACCGGGTGCAGGTGCGGCCCGGCCTCGGC